GCTGGCATCCAACTTAGTCTTCTAAATTGAGCAGTATTAAGTAGGTTCCATGCAGTTTATTTTATGGGAATATGCTGAACACTGTTCACGTGTGTATGGGTCTGAAAAAGGCTGTATTTGGATTTTTTACTGAAAGTATGAACTTGCTCCTCTTGTCTTTGGAGCTGGTGTGTGAAATACCAACCAGCTGTCAGTTTTTCTGTCTTCGGCCATAAGGTGGCGGGATTTCTTTGCAGTTTGGGTTTGTTTTTTTTTTAACTCTATCCAAGAATAGAACAATTTTTTATATATATTATTTTAAAAAATAAAAACATGATTGCAAGAGAATATTTCACTTTTAAATTTTTAGATTATGTCTGGCTATACATGCACAGACAATATTCTTACAAGGTTACAATTAGCTGTAATGATACAGTTGCCCCCCCTTAAGCATTTTCCTCTTACCTGCAGAAGCTGTATTATACATAGAGGAAAACAGACAAGTTTGTAGAATTAACCTCTAGGTGCTATATTTACTAGTAGAACCTGTATATAAGTTATTTCAAATCTGCAGGGATCAAAATAGGATGAGAATGCAAAATTAATGGATGCAGTTATGCTATGACTGTGGTATGGCAAAGGTCTCACAAAACACAAAACCCACAATTTTATTTCTGAGCTGTGGAAATTGTGCTTGTTCACACCAGGGGTGAACATGATTGTCTTGTAAGATGGAACTGAATTCAGAAAATCAGTATATCTAGTACATGTCTTAATTATGTTGTTTTCCCAAGAAATGGGTTTAGAACTTTTTCTTTATTAAATGACAAGAAATCTGTTTTTATTAAGAACAGATTCCTATTTTGTATGTAATAATAAATTTTCTGATGTGAATCATTTGTCGTTATGAAATAGTGTCCATTAACAATCATATTAGAATTCCACTATTTTACTTTATAGCATGTTTGCTGGTTCATATTTGCAAGGTGTAGCTTAAGGGAAATGGAACTTGCCATGATCTGGGATTATTTAATATTTGGACTAATGAGAGAGCATGATCCTATCTTTCTTCCTACTTTTCTTCCCTGTAGGTAAGTAAATGCCACTACTCTCATCCTCTTGCACGATTCTGTCCTGGAAAAGACATTTTTTATAGATTTATAAACACATTAAAGGTGACTCTGTGAGTCTGCAAAGTCTAGAAAACTGCCTTGGTAAAAAATTACATTATCACAGTAATCCTTTTACTCATCAACAGTTTTGGAACCAGATTCCATAACACTTTCAACTGTAGCTCATTCCATTCATATTTTCGTTTGTCTTGAAGTCTGTAAAAATTTGGGACCATGCAGTATTCCCTTGAAGTCAACAAATTTAGGTTCCTCCTTGCCAAGGAAAACACTCAAAGCTGTTGTGTTTCCTGAAAATTATGGTGACCCTTTTACTTTTAGTATTTCTCTGTTGTTAAAAATAGGGCAGAATAGTGTCATGAGAGACATAGTATCTTGGGCAAACGAATGTCAAGCTCTTTGGGTATTGTTAAATAATCTTTTAATGTAGAGATCTTTTTAAGATTAAGGACTATTTAATTGTTTTAGCTAAATATCAAGACAAAGAAGGTGACTGTTGCTACTTTTCTTCCTGTCCTCATCCCATTTTGGAAACCTTAAAGCTATATCCTATATGAAAAAGAACATTTGTTGGACTGGATTTCTAGAGTTTAGTAATCTTTTCAGAGTTGGAATGTATCATATATTCCTTTTACAGATCAGTGTGAGGAATTTTGTTAGAATGTTCTATCTTAATTATAACCATTAATAATGTATTATTATTAGCTGTTATTATAGATAATAATGCTTGATTTTTTTTTTTCTGTTTTGTTAATTCCACTGAAGCAAATTTTTTGCATTTCATCTGCTAATTGAAAGCATACAACACATCTCTTTGGTATGAAGTTTTTATACTAATGAATGACATGTCTCTGCTGGATATTAACTTTGGCATCTGTGGGTGGCAAAAACCCCTAAATGCTCATTTGACTTAATAATGAGTTTTTAAGTGGGTACCTGTCTTTGTTTGACTGATTTAAATAATCAGACAAAGCTTACACAGGGACATAATAGCTTGTATGAGAACAACTAGTATACTAGGAAAATCAGGCAAGAAGAGGTAAACACGCCCCAAACTTTTCCTACCCTGTCAGTTGATCTAATAAGAAGCATTAACTCTCCCTGCAGAGCTTGCTTTACTGACGTTCTTGGATCATCACCACAGCCACAATGCTACCACTATGACTAGTATAATTATGTTATTTAAATCAAGAGGCCTCTCTCTTCTCAGCTTATGATTGTGAATTTAAAATTTGAAAAGAATGTATACTTTTGTCTTGGGTTTCACCGTTTTTTTTAAGCTATGATAACTTGCCATGGGCTGCCAATATACACAAGTTCCACTGTGTACTGCCTTTAGGTATTGCATCTTTTGCATGTATTTTGTCCTGATTTTTATCTGAGATGTAACTGACCAATTGATAGTTTTGCTGTCTGCTTTTGTGAAGGTGGAGAAGAGGCCAGTTGTGAAATAAAACTG